AAGTCCATGGACCTCGCTTTTGTAATTTCATCTAATAATTTGTAAACATATTGCAATTCATGCATCTTTCGGTGCGAAAATATGTCAGTAAACCAACCATTATTATTAAAATTTCATGTTGCTGATTCTTTATCACTGCATGCATGGTTCCTCATACATGTCTTTTACCCCCAGACACCAAGTGTCCACTTAAAGCCCAGCCCCGGCACACTAAACAACGATAACGATATACGATATTATAAACTTGTAAATAAATAAATAATAAATGTAAACATGCGCCGATTGCTCAAAAATATTTTTAAAAAATTCGTTTTATCACTCGGTAAGCGATTTTAAAATCGTTCAATTTGGAAAGAATTCACATCAGGGCAGCACGACTAATCTACCAGTATGCCTGGGACAAACCTTCGAAAGAAGTTCAAACTCAAACAAACTGGAGGCTACTTAATTAATTAAATTATTTTATAATTTAAAATTGTTAAGACTAGTCTTCAATTATTACCACAATTTATCACCTTTAACGTTCCAACATATATTCACAAAGAGAGAACAAGTGTATAACTTTAGAAAAACAAATTGTTTGAAAATCCCAAAGTTTAAACAGACTTTATGAAAAAATCTGTCGGGTATCAAGGTGCAATCCTTTGGAACTCTCTGGAAAATAGTGATAGATCTTTAGATAGTTATATTGCATTGAAAAACAATTTTATTAAGAAACTCTAGATGACTATAAATTTAAATTATTTTATTAACTATTATCTAATTAGTATACTCACGACCACTTCAGCTACGCTGTACTTAATATCGTGTTTAAATAAAAGCTTATTATTATTATTATTCAGTATATCGTTTGGTCGTAGTGCATGTGACCGCGGCCCCTTTATACATAGCTTATATAGGACCACGGATAGGACCGAGGAGTCCATATATAAAAGAGTACCGAGAATTGATACGTGTTGCATGGGCATTGAGATAGGAAGACAATTATATTTTGCAGTCAGAAAAAACTTTCATAATATATAGAGATGAGATCGTTCCGGGTTCCTGGGATGAGACTGAGTACGTAAAATATTGTTGGATTTTTTTGTGGGGTTTTCTCTCCGACTCAGTTGAATTTAATTAATCGGATCAACCAGGCATGCCATGCATGTATAATTATAATACGTGCGCGGGAGTATATATATACACTCACTCAAAGCACTTGTTATTTATTCCTGTACTGCAGGTTTGCGAAATTAACGGAAGAATGTCTTGGCCAATTCATCGCTGGTTATTTCTAATTGTATCGCTATTTCTGTTTAAAGGTATGCATGGTAACTGTTAAGCCGCGTTTACAAGCTTTTTATGACCAGTTTTTATATGGCAAGTTTCGAGGCAAGTTATATATTTGCCAAGTGCACGTGTGTATTTGCGACAAATTTTCTATGACAAGTTTTTTGTTTTCTGACCACCACAAAAGCCTATATGTATCATACCATTACAGCAATAGATCGCTGACCAACTGCATGTATGCAGTTGCTCAGATTACTTTGACAAATTTTCTTTGTTGACTCGCACAGAAGAGCAGAATCTGTACCTTGACAATTTTTACTGTGACAAGCAGAGTGTGACAAGTACACTTGTTCAAAAGCTAGCTTGAAAAATTGTCAAAGTGCGCATACAGACGAGCAAATAAAACGTGCCACAGTCATAAAAACTTGTCATGGAAAACTTGCTTGTCTGTAACCGGCTTAATAGCAACTCGACCAAGTAAACAGGTCACTTGAGTCACTTAAAAAAGATAATTAAAGTCTGTATGACGCGCCCAATCCTTCCTCATATTAATATCATGGCATAGTTATTCAAATATTTTTAGCTTCTGTGTCTTGGATTTATGCGGACAATAAAAATACTGTGCAATTAGAAAACATGCACACAGACTAAATTTAAAAAGAAGTAACTTAAAAAACAGAAATCATTAAGCTTATATATAGGCTTTATACAGGGTGTATAAAAAAAGGAGACCTTCGGGCTTTAGAGATTAACTATATTGTTAAAATTTTAATGCCTTTTCAACTGCACATATGCTGAACCGTAGTGCGTGAAATATTAGAGAGTTTAAGTTCGACTTCCGATACCAATACCGATACTAACAACATGTCATGCGCATGCCGTTTCTGCTCGCAAGAATTACGAGGACAAGTGTATTGGAAGTCACCACTACCGAAGTCGGCTTTATATTGGAAGTCGGGGGGAATTGTAAGATAAACTCATATAAATCGGATATTTCATAATTTTTACGATAAACATGTAAACTATTCGTTTATTAGCATCGCGCCTGAGTCATGTTTTAGTCAGAATTTTAGCTCAGCTGCCGTTTAGTATACCGCACATTTTCGGTGACGATTATATATAATGTGTTCTATACTTTATGTGTCGTGATTACTTAACGCTTTAAAATTCCCGTTACCATGCAAAATAAGAACGGAAGTGAAAACATCGGTATTGGTATTGGAAGTCGAACTTAAACTCTCTATTGATGGGGTGCATATCTTGTATACATCCTGTACAATACCGATATTTGAATATGCATCATTTCCTGCCTTCGGGTCCATACAGGGTGTATAAAAAAACGCATCCTCGGAATTTCCCAAGAAATCCGCATTGTCATTTACGATTTTAGGTGCCTGGGAATTTAAAATAGCACAACTGTCAAAATTACTGCACACGCGAGTGCATAAAGCAAAATTTATGCATTCATATTTAACAGTACAACAGTGATATGATCTATTAGCAATTCCATTTCAATTCCCAGGGCCCAAAATCTTTTATGCTTAAGAATTGCAAAGTGGATTTCTTAGGAAATTCCGAGGTTGGTTTTTTTTTACACACCCTGTATATTCTACAAAGAATGCCTTGCTGCGTGGCATACATAGTATAATTTTTTACAACTTAGTTTTAATTTAATTTATTTGCCTTTATGTTATTAATTAACATACATATTCTTATAAGTAATAGCATGGCATTCAGGGCGATTAGTGATTAAATGTACCCGAAAACCGAGAGAGGAGCATGGCATTACGGGGAATCCTTCCTCATTAATCCTTCCTTCCTCGCGAGACAAAGGATTTTGAGGCAACTATGGTATTATGTATAATATATTATACGCTTTATCACAGCCACACAACCTTCAAAGGGGCGGCAAGGGTATTTCAATATTTTCGTGACTTGTGATTAGCAATTATTCGTGATTTGAAGAAATACCATTCCGTGAAGTAATGTGATTTCCATAGTCTTTTAAATGTTCTAATGTTAAAGTCAACAAAATGGTTTCAGTCGACTTGGTTACGTTTCTCTGTTTCTAAAAATCGTGAAAATGAAATTTTGTTTTTCGTGACTCGTGAAATCTAAAAATGATTTTTGCAAAGAAACTCCCTCCCCCCCCCCCCACCTCCCCCCTTCAAACATTCGACATGAAGAGGACTGGAGATTTCTACTCAATCTCGGAACCAGACAATCTCCGAGAGATTTGCAAAGCTGACGCTTTTGTAAATAATACATAAATTATATCATGGCATTCCAGTATATAAGATCACAACAGGCTTTAAGATCACAAGATGTAAGAAAATTTCCTGCGAAGATATTTTGTTAAAAATTCCTGCCAGCGCCAGCGATGCTGCTGGCTCTGCCCAGCACTGATTTTTAACTCGATTGTTAATATTAGCATTTATTATAATTACATAGGTGATTATTGAAAATTCTCCACGCTGATTGGTTGCCGTTGAGGTGATTATTACGCGATAATCACCTACGCGATTTTCAAAATGGCGGCCGAAGCCTTTTTGTCAATTAAATGACAAAGAAATGTGTATTTTCTTAATTTTTTTCCAAATAATCACCTATGAAATATACTAAAACAATTATTCACCTCAGGCTCGGTGATTATCGTGAATAAAAACCTCGACTTCGTCTCGGTTTTTATTCACCGATAATCACCTCGCCTTCGGCGAATAATTGTTAGTTATTTATGCAGTAAAGCCTGGTTCACATTGATCGTAAACATCGGCGATGCCCATTGTCGGTGGTCATTGATGCATAAAATGTTTTGTGCATTTTCTTCTTCGTTGCTCACAGACAATGGATCGTAGGGGTAGAACATCGCTGCAAGTACGTGGCCTCAGTTGCATGGCTTTTGAGCCTCGTTTTCAGGATTGAGATATTGATTATCGGCTTCGGAGCCTTTTATCTTGCATGTATGATTTCGTAAATGTGTCACCTGTTAACAAGATTATTATTAGCGGACATCAACATATGCCGTTTAGGGGTAATGCTGCCCACAAAATTGCCTTTTTCGTTTTATTTTGTTATCATATATTATTGTAACTTTAAATGTTCCTGAAACCGTTTCATTCATGTGGTGACAAGCCAATCCTGTATTGTCTGGCCTTAGTTTATATAGATGAAACATGCATGTAAGCCGAAAACATCGACTTTTAAATAACTTATTGTATCAAAACAGTTTAACGCATGTTTTGACATAGTTTTAAAAGACATAAACGAATTTCAGTGACAATGTCTTCAGTCCTCATGCAACAACAAGTGGATCAGAGTGCTCGGTCAGTCACACCCTGATATTTCTATGACCCTTCTCAATGCTTGAACAAGAAAATGATTTGCTCGATGATCCCTATTGTTTAATTCAGACGCTGTGGCACTTTTGATAGTTTGCATATACATTTTGACTTCATTTCAAAACAAATATGCTTTCAGATGTATCTAGTGCTCTACCGCGACTGCCTGTTGTCGTATATCAGCTTATTTATACTTTATAGTGGCAATAATCATCCTAAGATGCATGTAGGTTTAGTATTCTGTGTAGCCTTGAATGCGAAATTCTTTTTTGTAATTGTATAGGCTGCCAAAGTCTTTTTCTCAGGCATACCAACTCTGGAAAGTGTATTACATCATCGGAAGAGCTCGTGTCCAATAATCCAACTTGGGTGTTACCTTACTATGCTGTAATGATTGACAACTGCTTGAATGTCAGTGCACAGTTTCGTTATCTTGATAGCGCGCTGTTACACAATATTGAGAAGGGGGGAACGTTGATGTTTTTCACGGATTCAAGATTCAATCTCCGTCGTTTGCTCGTGTATAAAGGCGTAGCAATACGTACAATAGAACATCAAAACAGTGCCGAACTCCGTTTAAAACAAACAGATGCGGGATCTTTATTCTTTTACAACACGAGTCAGAACGTATGTGCTAAGCCTTCAGCAAAATATGTATTGAGGAACGCGACTTGTGACACAGAAAATCAAAAGTTTACTTTTGGTAAGCGAAATGTGTAAGGTATATCACTGTACAATTTTGTCAAATGACAAAATAGATGGACAACTTATATTATTTAAACCGCCAGGTTCTGTAGGGCTGTACCTGTACGTACCTTTACGTTAGTAAAAGTATTAGTAAAATAAAATAACATAGAACATTTTAAAATTGGATAGGCAGAAATTTTTGATGAACCGTAAGGGCATTCATCGGTACCTATAGGATGCTTCCCAGGAAAATTTAAAAAGTTGAAGCTTAGATGATTTGACTTTGTGGAGCTTCAATAGACAGCAACTACATGAAAAACGTAAGTGAACTACATGTACCTGTACATGTTAAATGCTCACACTTGTTAAAAAGAGCTATTTGAAATAATTAAGTCATCTTTTTTATCGATACCTACTGTGGTCTAGATATTATTTATAGGAAATGTGTTCACGACAAAGTCGATTTTTATAATTTTAGAAGGGAGCTAATTCTAATGGGGGGCTTCTATAATTCCCTTCCTTAGATCGATAGACCCCTCACTTTCCCCTTCCCACCGCTCATTTGATATCATGTTTCGTTATGTAAAAGGAGACATCCTAATAAATATCTACAGTTCAATTTTTACAGTAGCTGCGTGGATGAATTGGGGCGTAAGATTCATACTCTATAGTCTATTTTAGGTTCAGTAACAGCCTACAACGCTAAATTGGAATATGTTCATTGTTCTCCAAAACAAAAGATGGTGGTGAAGAGCGCTGATTATGGAGACTTTAATAAGGATGGTGCCTTTAATGACGATCAAAATATTGATACAACGTGCAGCAAGTTAACCAATTGTCAGGTGAAATCTCTTTGTGGTGGAAATAGATCTTGTGAACTGACCATGGATAAAAATTTACTACCATCACCATATTGTTCGGATACTTCCAAAGAAATTTATACCAAATACACTTGTATGGATACCTACAACTCCTCCATTATAACTACAGGTGATGTTATAATGATGACCATTTACTAAGACCGTATCGAAAGCACTCCGAGACTGCATATAAACTAAACATGCATGCCAAATAGACTATATATGGCCTCGCTTTTCGTGTTAATTTGCTTGTGCTAGCACGGCAGGCACATGAAGGTTAATCCTCATGTTTCATTGTTTCTCTTTGATCTTGAGCCCAATTACAAGCCTGCGCAAGAAACATGAGGAATAACCACATGAATATAAGGCCGTTAGGGGGCAAGAGTGCAATAATTAAGAAATAGAAAACGAATCGCGTGCGTTTACATTCCTCGAGTGCATTATCATATAAACGCACAAGACGAGTTCTATATTTATTTATAATACTAGATTCCAAGAAGATATTACCCAGTGGCCGCTGTGCGCAATTTTATTTGAAAGATCGATTTTGAATTTCTCCTAAAATGTAATTAGTGACGTCACACGCATTCTTTCACTCATCGCTTAGCAACAAGCTTGAATTTTCAGGC